TCACTTTTTTCAAATGTGACGTCTTTATTACAAATTGTTGCCCTGGAATTATTTCTTCCTTTGCAACTCTGTTGATTCGAGCAATAATTATAATAAAAACAGAACTGAGTAAAACAAACGATTGGAATGACTGATGCAAACAACGAAAGAAAACAATTTCTTCTTCTTCGTTATCTTCTTCTTCTTCTCTTCTTTCTTTCTTCCTTTCTTTCTTCCTCCCAAGTTTCTTTCTTTCTTTCTTTAACTCCGATCATCATCTTTCTTTCTTTCTTTCTTTCTTTCTTTCTTTCTTTCTTTCTTTTTTTACTCCCTCCCAAGTTTCTTTTTCTTTCTTTCTTTCTTTCTTTCTTTCTTTAACCCCGATCATCATCTTTCTTTCTTTCTTTCTTTCTGTCTTTTTTGCTTTCTTTCTTTCTTTCTTTCTTTCTTTCTTTCTTTCTTTCTTTCTTTCTTTCCTACTCACAATTTGTTTCTTTAACACCCACATACCTTCTTTCTTTCTTTCTTTCTTTCTTTCTTTCTTTTTTTCTTTCTTTCTTAACTCCCTCCCAAGTTTCTTTGTCTGTCTTTAACCCCGCTCATTTTCTTTCTTTCTTTCTTTTTTCTTCTTTCCCACCTCACGAGTTTCTTTCTTTCTTTTCTTTTCATTCCACTGCTTTTCTTCCATTTCTTTCTTTCTTTAACCCCGATCACCTTCTTTTTTCTTTTCTTTCTTTCTTTCTTTCTTTCTTTCTTCCTTTCTTTCTTTCTTCCTTTCTTTCTTCCGTTCTTTCTTCCTTCCTTTCTTTCTTTCTTTCTTTCTTTCTATCTTTCTTTCTTTCTTTCTTTACTCCCTCCCAAGTTTCTGGCTTTCTGTCTTTCTTTAACCCCAATCATTGTCTTTCTTTCTTTACCCCTTCACAATTTTTTCTTTCTTTAACTCCGCCCACTTTCTCCCTTTTTCTTTACCGCCTCCTCTTTCTTTCTTTCTTTCTTACTTACTTACTTTCTTTCTTTCTTTCTTTCTTTCTTTCTTTCTTTCTTTCTTTAACCCTCCAACCTTCTTTCTTTCTCACTCTTTCTTTCTTTCTTTATCACTTCCCAAGTTTCTGTTTTTCTTTTTTTTAACACTACCCACCTTCTTCCTTTCTCTTTTTCTTTACACCTTCCTAACCTTCCTTCTTTCATTAACCTCGCCCACCTCATTTCTTTCTTTCTTTTTTCTTTCCTTTTCTCATCCCTCTTTACTTCTCCATACATAGTCTACTTTCTTTATCTTCGTTTCTTTCTTTTGTTCTGTTTCTTTCTCCCTTTTCATTTCATAATTTTTTTCTTTTCCTTAATATTATATTAAATTTAACACTATTTCGTACCTAGCTTCTATAAATTAATGTACAAAATTATTCGTTTGCGTGTGCACACGCGGTATTTGTGTGTGTGTATGCGTGCGTGTTTGTTGTGTGCGCGCATGCGCGCGCGCACGCGCTTTCTTGTGCGTTTCCCATCGGCTGGTTGGTGTTAACTTTCGGAACTTATTATTTGTTATTATATTTAAAAAAAAGAAAACCCTCGCTGTATCCATAAACAATTTCAAATACATGCTTGATATTATAATGCAGACGAACGTGTGTGACTTCTAGACTCACGGGTCTATTTGTTTGCGTTTTTCTATCAGGTATTGGCATAAAATCTCTCTACTGACATAGGCACGCAGACAGACACGCCTCTCTCTCACTCGTTCACGCATCTCGCTCTCGCAGGATATCACCCCACAGCGACCTGGTTGTTAAAAACATGATGACGTCATGCAGATAACCGAATCGTAATGTTTTTGGGGGGTTTTATTTATTTATTTGTTTCATCATTTTTTTTTTTTTTTTGCATGTTTTCTTCTTTTCTTTTCTTTTTTTTTGTTTTGTTTCTTTTCTACTTCGGAGTGTATGGATGAGACGGGATGCTTATTTGGCGTTGTATTCTACAGAAACAAACACGAGTAAACAATGTCCATTGATTCGGACAAGTTTCTCTTCAACCGGTTATTTCGTTTCTTTTTGTTTTGTTGGTAGTACATTTCATGTTTTCGTTCAACCGGCTAATAGCTCGTCTGCTGATGTCATACAAGTTACGTGTAAAGCTAGTTCTTCATCAACTGCCGTTATCGTTCTTTCCGTAAAGCTTTTGCTTACTCGGCGCTTTATCACCTGTCAAATTCCCAAGAAATTTAAGACCCAAGCTTTAAAGTTGCTTGGGGAAACTATGATTCAAAAATATTTCATATATGCTTTTATTTTCGAGTAATATAACTTTGTATTGGTCGAGTTTGGATTCATTTGACCCGGGATATCAAGGATTGCATAAGTAACTTGTATTTGTAGCTCTTCTTAGTCTAAACTAAATTGGATGCATAATTATTTATTAGATCGATGAAAAAGCTTTTTTTCAGATATTTTCATATTTCAATCTATATCTATAGATAGATATGGACCGAGATAGATAGATAGATAGATAGATAGATAGATAGATAGATAGATAGATAGATAGATATGAACGACATTAACGACTGAGATAGATAGATAGATAGAGAGAGAGAGAGAGAGAGAAACAAACTTTTAAGAATATAAGAATGTAGATATGTAAAAAAGAAGAAATAAATGCTGGTATTTTTACTTTAGTGTTTGATTTTCATTGGTCAATCATGTATCACGTGCATTCGACTCTTCTACACCAACGTTAGCATAATATGTGGCGTTCCGAATTCAAGGGGAGACAACTCGTCTATCCATAATTTCAAGAAATTGAAGTAAAGATACTGAAATTTCTTTATTTTTTTCTACCAATCTCATTCTCTGATGAAACTTTAATAAAAGTGAAACATGTTAGATTGATAAACGTTTCCTATTTGATCTGTATTTGATCCCAAATCATAGATAGATAGATAGATAGATAGATAGATAGATAGATAGATAGATAGATAGATAGATAGATAGATAGATAGATAAGGATGGCTGCAATTTTATTTCAATTATTTCTTCTCTTGCGGACAGATTTATTTCTACTCCTGTGGCAGTGAAGACTTCTGGAGTTATTGGCCCTGTTTCGATGGCGTTCGTTCGGAGGGTTGGCGGGATGACGTCTCGATTAAAAGACGAGCCTTGCGAAATGGGGTGGCACTTGCAGCTTGTCTCGCTGGCGATGATACATAGTAATGCATTCTCCATCATTGCGGCTGGCAGAGGATTGCAAAAAAACATTTTTTTTTTTTTTTTTTTTTGCTTACAGATACTTTGTTCAAATAAAACATTTGTTTATATACTTTTTTTGAATTCAATTAATCCCATTTGATCCTCAAATACGTGCATAGTATGTGTTCTTTCTTATCCCTGCAAAGGACTTGCACTCTTTGTTTAAAGTCAAAATATGTCCGGTTTACACGATAGGACAGACATAGACCCTGTTTATACAAGATTTAAAAAAATATATATGACGAAAGAAATATAGATTTCTTTTTACTTGTTTCTGCCATTACTTTAACGATGGCATCGTATTATGATGATCGGTCAGCGAAGACGTACGTCTAATTATTGGCCAAGCGAGATGGAATATAATTCACTGAGGCCGAAAAATGTTGGACACAATGGCTTTCAGCAAAGAGAGTTGGACTTTTACGAATTTACGCTCCACCGACCGGGTGTTGAGAATGAAGTGGATGGGTAGTGGTGAAACGATGTGTTTACTGTACTGGTTACCAGACCGATGACACACTTGTTCCTCACATCTACCTTGATAAGTTTGTCCTCTGCTCACCAAAACGTGAAGAATCGCGCCCTTGGGAAGAGCAGAATATCCCAGACGAATACCCACAAAATCCTGTGTCGCCCGTCTACGCATGCGCACTACGTGCAACCATTATCCTTGGCAGTTCTCTGGCTCTTTCATTCTTTATCTCTTCTTTTTATTTTCCGTTCCTCTTTCCCGCCTAAATATCTATCTATCTATCTATCTATATATATATATATATATATATATATATATATAGCTCTTTCTTCCTCTCCTCCCTCTTTCTCACTTGGTTTCTTTTAAGTCTTTGGTTGGCGAGAGACGCGTTCTAAACATAGTTTATTGAACTGTTGTTGAAATGGCAACATGCAGCGCCAGGCTTAAATAGGACTTGTATTCATTATACGCTTGTAAAGATTGTTGTTACAATCCACCATCCCTACCCAGCTTTCCCCTTCGTGGTTTTTGCCCTCGCCCCAGAAGCGTTTTGAAAGTTATTAACACGGACGAATCCTGTCGACGTCACACACTCACAGAAACGTCACAGAAACGTAAACTCAGCACAAACATTTTTAATTATTTTCAGTTAGGGATACTTGATATTGCCCAGATTGAAATCCTGGATCCGATCAGTCTCTCATCTGTTGAGCAGATCATATATTAACAAATTGGCTTTCCACTCTAAGGTATAAGATAAAAACTTTCCAACAACAGAATCTATGGTTTGAAATTAGAATGTAAACAGTGACAGCATTTACCCTGAATTCGGCAGGTCGATTTCGGATCCGTGGAATGCACTGGATTTGAAAGTTGGGATTTGACATGATAAATAATGAAACATTTTTTTTTCTAATTCGTTACCGGATATCAAGTTTAGGTGTAGAAAGAGCAATCAAATTATCTAATGAAGCTTCACAAATTGTATATGAACAAGAAGCATAACACAAATACATTGTTACTAAATTATCGTGCCATCAAATAAGACCTTCATTTACTTCAAAGGTAAATTATACTGAACAGTTTAAGTATATTACAATGCAATATATTATACTATCCAGTTGTTTTAGCGTAATTTTCAATGAAGAATATAAATTTGAAACATTTTGTTTTATAATTTGTACCCAGCAGTAATATGGTGTTATATACACTTTTATCTGTATCTGTCTATATATCTGAGATGAGGTATTATGTACACTATTTACATTATTCGGACTATAGTCCGCATCTTTGTCGCCATATTTATT